TAGAACTAGCTATCATGTGGATAAAACTAACCTGTTTTGTAAAAGGAAATAATGCTTCACACTCAAGATCCTTAAAAAAAAGGTTCAATCTAGAGATGACTGTAAATAGCTGCTTATGACCACTTACGACAGCTGGTCACTTTGTGGTAAGACAGAATGAGAAATTAGGCATTAATAAAAACAAAGGAACATTTGTAGAAAAAAATGCCAACTATACATACACAATGGTGGTCTCCAAGTTATCTATTACCACTCCAGAATGAAAAATGAGTCAGTCATCGTAACATCTTTTATTAAAAAAAAAAAAAAAATTAAAAAATCAGCTCAAAGCCCAGCCACATTTAAACAAACAAAAAATAAATCACAAGGAAAAGGAAGAAACAAATTAGAAAATATAAGTTATACTGAGTTGCTATTTCTGCATCCCAAACACAACATGTACTTCAGAAACCACACAGTCACAATCAGAAAAAGTATTGAGAAAATCAAAGCATAATCCAAAGTACAAAAGCACCTGAAAAAGTATGGGGATAAAGGAATTAAAGGAATAGTTACCAGTACTCCCAAAACATTAAGAGGTTTTGCAGAACTTATGCATCTTAAAATTACTCTGATCTTCTGTCATGTATCTTGTCTTTCAGCATTCACCACTACTCATTATCATGAGTAGTACATGATAATGTACTACATGGACCTTGACCTTGGGTAATTGTTCTTTTCCCCTTTTTAGTTATGTTGCACAAAAATATTTAATAGGTTCATCCACCGTAAAAATACAGAAGAATAGTACAAAGTCTACGAGGCACTGTAGAAAGTCAGCTCCTTCAACTACAGCACTGGCCAATATCCCAGTCTGGGGTTCTCCATTTCAGAGATGACAGCATTGTACTTTGTTTTCAAGTGTTACAGATTAAAAAATTATTTGTGGCATAGTGGAAGAACACCAGACAAACCATACTTGAAGTGATGATCTCCTGAAGTGGCCTCTGTATGCCTAGCACAACTGTAAAATATATTCCAAAACAGCTGGAGACCTGCTGTATGTAAAGTACCAGGACAGTCTTGGAACAGCTGTAGTACGAAGAGATGCTAGCAAGCTCAAAAGCAGCAATCTAGACTACAGTGAACCATGTGGAAGAAAATGGGCGTGTATTTCAATTAATCTCTCCAAGCAGATTATTGTATGGGGAGTTTCATCACCACCACACAGATAACGCTCTGGTACTGCTGATGGCAGGTACTGTAAGACACGACAAAAGGTACCTGTGACTGAACAGCATTGCTACAGGCTTCGGAAGAACAGATGGGACTTGCACACAATCCTCAGACTACTCAACACATCTAGTAAGTAATTTCAAACACTGGAAATTCAGGTCAAAGTTCTTTGTTCATCCAGCCTGATTTTTATTCTGAGACATAAGGGCTACAGGTGCTCTGGAGTGTAGCAGGAACCTGACTGACCTCTGAGCAAATCTCTCAGCTTACATGATGTCCTTCTGAGCACTATTTCACTTCAAAAAAGCGTAGGTGGGGAGCACACACAGAGAAAAATCCCCAAATGCTAGCTATGAAAAGAGGCAGTCTGAGGTTTTAGTGTAATTTCTATAAAAAGAGAGAGGGGCAAAATGAAGGCAAGTTCGATGAGTTAGGCCAGAAGAAAGTTGATGGGGGAATTATGTGGTGTGACTCTCACTGTGGAGCTGCTGTTGATTTTCCTCTAGATCTTACAGCCCACCTCCTTCTCTGGGATCTCAGCCTTCTGGTGTTCCTGAAATTCCAACAAACTCTTATACTTAGTTCCTGAGGGACCTGCACACTAAGCTCAGCTTTCCTCGAATCCTCACCCTCGCCAGCCTTCCTTTTCTTAGAAGAGGTTAAAGTCCATTTGAATCCCAAGCAACCAGTCAACCCCTTCCTCAACAAAGACAGCAGCGTGCTAGAGAAACCTCCTCGTTCTGAAAGCAGAGCTGAGAGGGGAACAATATCACAGGAGAAAAGAGAAAGACCCCAGTCATAATGAATCACTGAGCAACTGATGCTCAGGAAAAAGAAAGCTTAGAAGTATTCATAACATCTTTTGTTGGCTTTGTTGCTGTGCATTAGATTCAAGTCCCAGCCCAGCAAAGGATTTACGCACATAAGAGCACATTCCCACCAAACCCATGGGATTTCTCACATACCAATAGTTAGCCATTTAAATACTGTTCTGGAAATGGGAACTTACTACATGAAGTGATAGAAAACAAGTGGTGCTAAATCAGCTTTGTGACATTTTAAATAAAAAAGCGATACACACACTGCATATTTAATTTTATAGACTGTACAACATTCCGATTTTACACTAGTAAAAAACAAGATGTATGATTTATCATTAGAATGTTTTTTCAGTATGAGTATCCTTCAGACTTAACAATTCTGAAATTACTTGAAATGGCACCTTAACAAGTTCTCCTTAAAAAAGGATTTCAAAATCCACTGATCATTTCTGTCACAAAGCACATTTACTGATAATAAACTAACAACTTATTCTTCAAGTGTCTGAACTGTATTCGTAATCAAGTTTAGTCACATGCTATTTAGACACAGTATTCACACCCACTTGTATTGCTCTGTAACTTAGCACCACCAGACAACACAGGGTGTGCCACAAGGGTACAGAGTAACATGTCAGAGCTTTATTTCAGAACCACGGTGCTGAACCCAAACACCTGTGCAAAGGGCAATGTGGAGAAGCAGCACTCCAGCAGCACAACAGACATCACCACCAACTGTCCCTTTGCAGAAATCATATAAAGCCTGTGAAGGTCAACCATACAACTGCCACATGTGAAAACTATAGTTAAAAAGCAGGAGCAGAAATATCAAACATCAGACTTCATGCACAACGAAAGACATATGCCTCAGCCCTCCCGACAGTGACAACTGCTCCGCCTTTTAAATAAACAACCATAAGCTTGTCAGACGATTTCCCATTCTGCATACTAGGAAAGTTACAGAAGGAGAGAGCAGCCTGAAAACCACCAAGAAGTGGCAGTAGTAAGAATGGCTCAGGTAGAACTGATCCATGGCAACTTCAGACAATGGCTTTTTAATAAGCAGATATCTCATATCCAAGAACTTAAACTCTCTTTAATAAGTATGATTAGAAACTAAAACACCAAAAGAAAACTATTTAAAACAATTTAAGTTGACAAGAATCTTAGGAAACATGACTAGATAAGGAGGCCTACACACTCAGATTTCAGAAGGTCTTTCCTATGCCATCATCTTCAGGTAAATGGCAACAAGCTGGTAGCAAAAAAAAAACCCGTTTTTTTTTTTCTTTAAGGGAATATGTCTTTCTATTAAATGTTTCATTCTTTGCCAATGCAGAGAATAAATATAGATATCATACAAACAGCAACAGAAAGGGCATCAGCTAGCAAAAAAGAAAGTGTTTTTTTTTTTAATTAAAAAAAAAACCCCAAAACCTGGTAATAATAGCACTATCATGAGTTAGGAAAACCAGGCAAATAGCTGCATGGGAAATTCCAGAATCCACCAGGAAAGAGAAAGACTAAAAACACACTAGTACCCTTCCACAATCTTCACTGACCTTCTATCGTTCTCCTTTAGCACAAATAACTACATCAGTAGGTATCCAAAGCACTAAAAAGGGAACAGTCATAAAACTGAAGGGGAAACAGGAATTACTTTGGGATTTGGGGTACACTAGCTGCGGCATAATTAATTTTAAAAATCATGTTAAGCCTGACTTTGTGATAAAATATTTGCATTCTTCAGTGTACCTTTACATTTCTGTGCTTTAGCACAATTGGGTCAGCAACACTGCATTTAGCAATCCTAAAGGTTCAGAGTGCTTCCGCCTTCAAGTGTCCTACTGTGCCCCAGGGATCCAGAAGCAGGGACGCATTTCCTTTGGCAACAGAACTGGGACTCCCACCTACTATGGAAAACTTGTTCTGGTTTCAACTGTTCTTACTAAGCTTGAATGTGGTTAAAGTTCCATTTAATAAAAGGGCACAACATATGATATACTTAAATTTAAAAGTGAATGTTTCATAGCCACTTGGGATTTTCACAGATACCAACAGTTTATCACTTTCTCCTTTGAAAACCATACTTTAATTATTTAGCTTTGTCCTTATTTCAAGCAAAAATTACCTCAATCATTTCTGCGGACCTTGCTAGCCTTTCCATAAAGAAATGGGATAAATATACATCAGCCAAATAATTACACAACTATTCTAGTATGCTTTCCCCTGACAATCATTTTTACAAATATACAAACTCCACTAAACACTCAACCTTTTTGTTTATTTGTTTAATGAGAAAGGTCTTCCTCCAGCTGTTTCTCACTACCTGTTTAGGATGCCTGTAAGGCATAGGATCAGGCTCCATTTTGGTTTTCCTACAGAAGGTATTTTTCTAATATCACCCTTAGAATTTCTTTTTGCCAGTTGCAGGCAGATGAGAAGGATTTAAGTTCTTGTACATAGAGTCACCTTAAATGTATTGCAAAGTGCCAGACAGTTTTACATATCGAACAAATTCCCTGAAAAAACATTACATAAGAACACTGGAGTACCTTAATCATGAGTTTACCTTCCCCTTAACTGTACTCTACATGATCTCTTATCTTGCTGGAATGCTTTTCCGTAGCTATTGTAAAACACAGTATATTTCATTATTTTGTTTCCAATGACAATGAAAACCTGCCTTTTTTGTCAGCAGTACAAGCATACATAAATAAGAATAATGTTATTCTTGTACCAACTTTTTTTTTTGACAGACCTAACAATTACACTTTTCCTATTTAGACTGTCTGAAGGCTGCTTTAATAACCTGCACCTTCTTTACACAGCATCACCTGTAGCATTTTGAATATTCTGCACAAATAGATAAGGAAAGAAATCCTTCCTTATTTTTCAGTGCTGAACAGCAGAGAAGGTAGTCAGTCAAATACATTTATTACAAAATAATGATTGGTTATTACTTACATTGTACTGCATACGATGCCAGAACGACAGCAGAACTAATGGGGCATGACAACCTGGAAACAGGAGAAAATATTTTTATTTAGATATAGACTGTATAAATGTATTGTTAACAATGTCTCTGCAATTAGTTCAGTACATGAAGACTCATTTACCTTCAAAGAGTATCTGATTTTTTCTTACAAAGTTTGATTGTTAAAGCACAGTAGGACTGGACATTAAAAGCTAGCTGCTGTGCAACAGCTGCTTAAGTGAATGGAAGTAACTAGTCCTAAAAGGACATGCTCGTATTCTTGCTGGATGCTTATTCGGGAAAGCAAAAGGAGAAGGGATTTTTATGGGGCTCTGGACATTATTTTAATAGCTGCAGTCTGGTGTATTTAAAAACTAGACACAAACACCAAAATTAGCCAAATGCCAAGCATAAAGACAGCTTTGATCTCATGACCAAAACTGACTCCATGGAAGAAAAAAGCCAACACCTAAAGGCAATTTACATTTGGCAACAAATACTCGGACCACCTTTTTCCTCTTTTTCTAAAATGTACAAACACAGAGGAATCACAGGCAAAGGAACCACTGGGTATATGCCCACCATATAGGAATATAACCCTGAAATAATAAGAAACAATAGCACGAACTGCCCTTTTACTACTCCCTCCTGATTACGGCACTGGACAGCAGGTCTCCACATTTGGAATACCATGCCTGGCACACCATGCCTTGCATAAAGATCTATCAGGTTGACACTGTACTTGCAGACACACAGCATCTCCTACAGCTCATTCACAACAGACTTCTAAACTGTTCTTAATAAGTGAGCTATGTGAAAAGTTGTGAAGTTTCCTAGCAATTTGATTTTTTTTAATAGCAGTATTTCACAAGGTACATTTTTATAGCAACAATACCCTCGGAAAAAGGCTTTTTTTTTTTTTTTTAAATTTTATTTTAAAAAGAATTATAGAGAAATTGAAGATTCTTCTTACTACCTTCCTTCCACAATATCAGTCTTCAACTGCAGGAAGAATAAGTGCCTAGAAAAGATTTTTTGGAAAACAAACAATCAATAAATTTATTTTCACATTTAAAAGGTATGGTTTAAATGGTTACATGTATTAGTTTTATTTTATTAGATTTCCTGGCAAACTATAGAAACAGATGAGTAAAGCTTAGTGGCATTTACAAATATGCAATCATACACCCACTCACTCTCACAAGAGTTTTAAAGGTCTTTGGCAGTCTGTACTACAACTCCAAGACCACAGTATTAATGCCACAACGAACACTACAAAAAACAAACCACTACAGAACTGGGCTCTCTTTCTCCCAGGAATATTCACCTTGGTTGTAACTTTTTTTAAAAAAAAAAAAAACCAACAAACACCCCACCCCACCCCCCCAAAAAAAACCAAAAAACAACCCCAAACTGTAATAGTCTATCTTGGAACTACTCAATGGAGGATGAGACACTTCTCAAGTAGCATACGCTGACAAAAAGGTCTTAAACAGTTCTCCAAGAGCAGTTCACTCTTGCTCTTATTATTGTGTTTGACGATGTTACTTTACAGTGATACTGGAGAGTTGGGATGTGAAGAACCATAAAGAGCAGGTCTTTGAATAATTTCAGTTTAAAACTACAGAACAGCTTACAACTGCATGATTAGCAAATACCAAACAGGTCAATAGCTAAGTTTTCTACAAGACATATCATTTAACATGCTGTACTATTTATATTCTCAAGTCACTGAAATTAACAAACAATGAAAGTGTTACAAAAATGCTAGAAAAATGCCAGATTAATGGGTGCCTGTGAATTCTAAATTCCAAACCATGCGCACTGAACAAAACAAGTATGCAATTAAAGCCTTGTGACAAGTGAACTGAAAGTTTCTTATAATTCACATACCCTACCACCCTAAAAGCTCAGAGATAGGTTTAAAAAAGAAAATTTTAAAGGTCTACTATAAACTGAAGTGTTATAGATCCTTGCATGTTACAAGTAATGGGCAAACTAGAAAACAAGAACTGTTATTTGTTCTTCTTGAAGCAAAATAAACCACACCCTCCCACACCCTCAGCATTAAATCTACTACACATGTTCAAAACTGACTCAGTGTTGATACAAAACTTTTAACATAGACTTAGGGCATGCAGACAGCTTAATCATTGAACTTCCCTATTTTTTAATCATTGCATCTGATTAATTAAGGGATCAGAAAAGGAGGAAAAAATGCAATAGGCAAGTACTTCAAGCGACGAAGGGCTCAAAAAAAAAAAAAGGAATCCAGGGTGCAAATAAACCAACTGCCATCTTTGTACTAGTTTATACTCCAGCTGTATTTTGGAGTTGTAGGCTGTGTATAGCAGAAACCATTCATTATGAGCATCGCATCAAGCTGTCAATTCCAAACACATTTAATACAAAGAGTTATATGAAGTATAACTCTACCTAATAAAGCATGGTTTGCCAAGCTGTGGAGATGGGAAAGGAGGGCTTTACACATTCTTAGTTCATGGAAGCAAACACCAAACAGAAGTTACCTGGTTTGTTCTTGCTGAAGTGTGTTAGGATCAGGTATAAAAAACCTTACACGAAAACGAAGGGTGCAGGGAAAGCCTCCTGCAATATTTTAGAAGAGCAAATCAATTTTTTGTTTAAAAAAGAAAGAGCCAAGGTTTTTATTCTATATTTATAGAAAAATTACATGAACAACCACATAGAAATCTCATGTGTTTTTCTCATGAAACTAAAAGAAACCACGAGAAGTCTCTCCTGATGCCCCAACACCAACTATGGGAAAAAAATACTCTCATTTAAAGTACTTTGCATATGCTACATATACATAAAAGGCATTATTTAGTTATCTTTGCCTCACAGGTATTAGAAGAGAAAAAAAGCAGCAAATATATTTGAAGCGTCTCAATGGGGATAATGCTCAATTCTATCCCACATATATATATATACACAAGAAATTTACAGAAGTTCACCATGTTAACTTCATGTATTTTTATTTCAATTCATACACAATCTGCAGCATATGGTAGAAATAAGAGAGCTGAAAAACATAGCTCAAGTTTCATAGCACAAATTGGGACAGTGTCACTCAGTCCTCCTAAGCTGCTATCTGGGAGGGTCATGCTGACCAGCCTGTCCTTCTTGGTAATCATTCTGTGTTACCCAAAGATGTTTATAAACAAGACATACTAGAACAACACATGCACTTGGAAGTGTATAGTATTGTTTATTTTGTTTGTTTGGTTTTTAATAAAAACAAGCATAAAATTATTTTTTTCTCATTCTACTTGAGACAAGAAATTGCCAGAACCTACATATGAAACTGGCTCCACTTCCCTCAATCAAAACCCCTCTTCCTTTATCTTCCCTGTCAGGAGGAATTTACTGGCACCGTGATATGACTACTGCTTTCATGGCCATGATGTCCAACACTGTTCAGAAGCCAGGTTTAGACGCTATTACAGCATCAAAGTTAGTGACCTACCAGGTCTTATTAGCACTCAGGTAACAGTAAGAGATGTAGAAAGCTCTGCTGAAAAAACTGGCAGAGGTAAAGAAAATCTACCATCTGGATGCACTAACTTACAAGAACTGTATTTATTCTACTCATAGGAACATGGAAAAGCAGGACTACACAGGTACAATCAAGATATTAAAAAAAATCTTACCTTTTAACTGTTTTCTAATAGGTTTGTTTGGTTCAAGCCATCGCTGTGAAATGAAAAACTATTAGATAGATTAAAAATATTTACAAATAAATACTGTTTATTTATGTGTATGTGTGTGCATGTATGTGTGCGTACATACATGTGTATGCATATACGTGTGTATATATGTATACACACATATACATGCACACACATTTATTATTTACTATACTTACAGGTGAATCTACTGAAGTTTCATTTTGCTGTAAACCAAAGTATTCCTTTTCTGTCACACCCAACTGGTTATAGGTCATATCCAACAAAATCTGTCCAGTGTCTTGTTTCTGAAAACAAGGAAACTTTAGAAGTGAAACTCCGCAACGCTTACACATTTTAAGATACAATTAATTGACATAAATTTGTTTTTTAAAAAAATGTAACTCATGAATAAAAATAGCTGCTAATTCATTAGTTCAAAGTTTCTCAGCGATAAGAACTTTATTCTGATAAAAGTATCTTTTTTTTTTTAAAGAGGCTTTCTTTCCAAAATACATTAGGCATGTGAAATCTCATAATATGAATTGACATGAACTCAAGCCCTTGAGGTCAGTCCAGCAATTTAATTTTAAGCAGACAACCTCTCCCTTGACCACAGTCTTTAGGAGCAATGCCGTTGTCCAGAGCTATAGCCTGCAAGGATGGCTTACAGCCACATGGGGCTGCTCTGGCCCCTGCCATCACCACCAAAGCAGCTTGCTCTGTTCCCACATCAGCTGTCAAAAGGCAAAATCAGTATACACTAGGATGGGGAAAAAAAGTAGGAGGATGCTGTGCTCCAGCCATAACATCCTGTTATGAACTCCCACCTGCCCCTCAGCCTCCACACACTCAGCTGCCATTCAGGACCCCACCTTCTGCCTAGACATCCCTCAAGACAGGTATCACAGAAGAACTGGTGCAACAGGGAATTACACAGGCAGCAGAGATCCAGAAGCGTAAGCATGATATAATTTTCCCCAAACCAAATAAGTATCTCCATGCTATGGCATTGTGGAGAGCAGATCAACTGACTTCTGCCGAAGAACCAATTCTATTAAAAAAACCCAACCACAAAAAGAAACAAACAAAAACCCCTCAACAAGATTGCAATCCTAAATATGCTAATATGTAATAAACAGCTTGCAAAGCTGTATGGCATTTTAGGTCTAGATTTCTATATATGAAACTGCTGGACAGAACAAAAATCAGGCCAGTTTGCTTGGTATCTTGTCTATTCAAAAAATTACAGCAAACTAATTTTTCATTTGATCTTCCAAATTCACTCTTAAAAGCAGAAATAAACTTCACACATGCAAAAAAAAAAATTTACCAGAGGAAAATTATTTAGACTGCAAAAGACAAGCACTTTGTTCTGAAACAAATTTCTTGAAAATTAAGTTCTGATTTAATTAAGTTCTGATTTCTTAAACAAATTTCTTAATTTCTTAAACAATCTCTTGAAACAAAGGACTTAATGTATAAGCAAGATAGTGACCACATTTTTGTGGATGGCCCCAGTCTTACTCAGTGCATAAGAGTGCTCACTTAACAAGCCAAGAACATAATATTGTATTCAATTCTCTTTGTCTAGACCTTGTTTATTATACAACACTCAAGTCCTGTTCAGAAGACAGATTTATCTTTTTTTTTTTTTTTTAAACAGGGTACCACACTATTGTAACTGAGTGGTTTAAATAGTAACATATTCCATAGTCTTCCCTTATGTCATAAAAGCATTCTTTCTATTTAAAAGATGGGAAAAGATGAACAAAGATTCAAGCAGAAGACACCCACTTGGCTACCTTATTTTGGAGGATGGAATATTATCCAACACTTCCTACTGCTAGAGCAGAACTCCTAGTAGCTCATTTGTGATTTGAATGCTCAGTGTTTCTACATCAGATGCAAGGTAAGGTAACAGCCAACCATTCGCCTCCCATGAAAAGCTGTGCCCATTTTTCTGGAGCAAAGTCACATATGAAGAAAACAATGTGGGCAACACTGGACTGTCTTATGTATGAGACTACCCTTTCCCCTCCAGCAGCCTCCCATCTTGTTTAACTTTCACAAAAAACAGTTGAGATCTCGCAATAAATGTGAGCCCGCTCAGGCGTGTAAGTCTGTGCGGCCATCAAAAGCAGCAGCTCTGTCCCCTCCTTCCCCAGCTGCACATCCCTACTCCCCTCCTTTCGAACAGGCTACTGTTCCTTGGGATATTCAAACCACGGCACTGATCAAACCCAATTTTTTTCTGAAATAGCGTAGACCTAGATCCAGCTTAGAAACTGGTATCTCAGTGACAGGTAAAGACCACACGACCAAGCATTCCTTGTCACACGCAGCCACGGTGCTGTGCATCTGTCAGGCAGTTCTGTCCAGCACCATCAGTGAGGTGGGCTCCACTATGAAGAATGAGATTTGCGATCAGAGATTATCTATATATGTACACAAGAGGGCCCTATGAAAACAGCAGATGCCACCTTAACCCTCTGAAATAATGGGCATTTCCTGATGTGAATACATTCATCTTTAGCACTGCCTTACTATACATACCGTATTCGTTTCCCCAGGGTTGTGTTTTTGTATGCAGAACATTAAAACACTTTCAAGTGACATCACATGACACCTGCACAACTCAGAAGCATGATTGCACATATATGGTGCATACTTCTGACACAAGCTAAATGAGCAACTGAAGTGATATTGTGATCAAAAGCAGTAATTATAGGGTTGAGACATACACTTTATTGAAAGAAAGTCTTCAGGCATCTCAGGTTTCATTACAAACAGGGCAGGAGAAGACCACAGAGGGCAGATTCTTCTGCTAATTTTCTCTCTGAATTTCAACACTTCTGACTCCCTTCAGTCTCCTTTCTTTGCAACAGCATTATCTCCTAATTCCCTTCTCGTTTTTCACGCTTCTGGTCCTTCATCCCAATTCAGATGCCTCTTCCTTCTCTCTCCCCATCCTCTCACAACTGCATCCCCCTCCTCTTCCCCGGCACACATGAATTGCTAAGTCTTCTCACTGCCTCCCTGTAAAGACAAGCAAGCTCCCTGCTAAAACATTCTTGCTCAGCAGTTGCAGTTCTCTCTCTGCAATGTTCCCATGGGTCTCCCAACCCTAAACCCAGCTGCTCAGCCAGTACTAGTCTCCTCCACCTACATAGCTACTATTTCCTTCTCTTCTTCCTCTCCACATTTCCTATCAAAAGCAATTCCCAACACTACTTTTCTGTGGCTCCAGTTCTTGCTCTCTGGTATTAAAAGCACAAAGTTTCTTCCACAGTGCCTAGATCAAGCACGGACTCCAGAAACCTGAGCTAAGTATAAAATGTCATTTTAAACTGTTAAAGTCTTCTTCATTTGTTAAAATTCCTGAAGCTGAAAGTTTTTGTTGTTTTTTTCTGAAGAAAATCTGTATTTAATCAGCTTTTGCTTTGTTTTAAGAAACACCTGAATTATTTTTCAGCCTATACACATAAAAATAAAGTCACCACACAGCTCATGCTGCACAGTGGGCACCAGTGATACAGCCAGGAGCAGCCTGAGGACTATCAAGAAGGATTACGGAGGCCTGGGAACAGCGGTAAGGGACTCTGGAATGCGTGTAGTTTTTTCATCAATCCTGCCGGTCAAAGGGAAGGGGTTTGAAAGGGCCAGTCGAATCTGGCAAATAAACAAATGGTGACAGGACTGGTGCCACAGCCAGGGGTTTGGCCAGTTAGACCATGGGACTCGCTTTGACAACCCTGGTCTACTGAGGTCCATCTGTCAGAGAAGTGGAAGAGCATCTTCGGTCATAGGCTTGCC